CATCGCCAATGCCGAAGCGACTGCTTTGTTTGATCTGGCAGTCCGCCTCACCACTGCCCAGCACGGCGTAGAACTTGAAGGGGTCCTCGATGCCTGCACATTCGTACATGGGCTTGAACTGGTTCAGCAGCTGCCAGGATGGTGTTGGGTCTGGGCCTTGGTGGCAGAACCAACACGGCAGGCGTGGGCAAAGAAGGCTCTTCCGCCGAGTGATGATGTAAACCTTGGCAGCGGCATTCTCCACGCAGCTCCGGACGTTCTCCACAGCGAAGGCGCCATTGCCCAAGATCGCAGCTCGTGCGTCCTTCATGCGGCCATCGTCCCACACGAAGAGTCCACCGTGACCATTTCCCATGCCGTAGCCGATCTGTCCACCACCCGCGATGAACTCGTCCTCACCAGGATAGTCGATGATGCGGCTGATGTCATATGCACCGGGGAAGTGGTAGACAAGCGAGACCTTGACGTTGGAGGTGGCTGCGCGGATGGCGCCGGTGGTGCCGTAGCCGCCATACCCTCCACCTGCGAGCTCGATGCTGGCCTTGTCCAGCTTCGTCAGGCCCAGCTCGTAGTAGCGGTCTTCGGCTTCGGGATCTCCGACAATCTTCAAGGTGGAGACCTCCGTCTCAAAGTTGCAGTGCTTTGTGAAGCCGTACTCCTCAATGCAGTAGCGCATGGCGTCCAGCAGCTGTGCCCTTACTGGGTGGTAGTCCACCCCAGTGCCTGCACCCGAGCCGCCCTTAGGTGCACCAGGGCCGTCGAACGAGGCACTGAACTTGGCACGGCCTCCGGACTTGGGATTAGAACCGTAGCCCTTGTCCCCGGTGTAGCAATACTGCTGACCCCACCACGGGTTGAAGGCTCCGAAGTCCGTCTGGCATCGCGAGTACTTCGTCGCTGAGCAGTGCCATGCATCGCCCCCTGCCCCGGCGTGGCGATCGAAAAGCACGATGTTCTCGTTCCGGTGCAGCATGTACTCCATGCCCAGCTTCACGCCATAGAAGCCGCCGCCAATGATACCCACCGGGTGCTCCCAAGAGTGGCGTGGGTGCTGGAAGTCCTTGAGGCCGTCGACCACGATCACAGCTGGAACTGTGCTGTCGGGTGCGATCTCGCGGCCATCCGGCGAGAGGCACTTGAGGTTGGCACCCCTCGTGTAGCTGAACATCTTGTCCACAGCTGCCAGCATCTCCTTCACGGTGGTCTCAGACTCTGCGGGCAAGTCAATCGTCTCGTCCGAGCCCTTGATCTTCACGGTCACAGCCTTGAACCTGTTCTTCTTCTTTCCGAAGGTGTCGCTGGCTTGGTCGAACTGCCCTTTCAAGACCATGACGGGGCAGTCGAACTTGTGGTAGAAGGCGTCAAGCGTCTCGTTGGCATAGCTGAGATCTTTTGCCCACATCTTCTTATCCACCTCCTCGAAGGTTTCGTAGTTGAAGGCCTTGACAACCTTGTCCGGGTTCGACTTCAGCTCTGACTGGCCATGCTCGTTCAGCAAGGGGATGTGGGGCGGCGCGCGGTCCACGACCACCACGGCGGAAGGGCCAATCCCATGCTTCACCAGGATTGTCTTCGCAAGCCAAGTGAGCAGCTGACAACCCACCGACTTGCCGATGAAGGCAAAGGGTGCACCCTCGAACTCACCTCCCTCCTTCACCTGGTCCAGCATCGGCGTAAGGTAGTCGAGGGCGTCCTTGGCCAAAGCCTCGAAATTCTCCGCATACGGCTCGCCCTCTCGAGTGCCATGCCCTGGCCACTCATAGATGCCAACTTCCATCCACTTCGGCAGGCCAAGGAGCGCGAAGCGGAACTCTTCGGCGAGGTCGCCCGGGCCGTAGAAAATGAAAGCTCTCATCTTGATTTGTGTGCCGAGGGCGTAGATCTGATCGATCTGGGGAAATCCCTTGTTGCGAGGCATGCCAGTCAGCGATCCGGAAAAAGTCTTCAATTCCTTCTTCGCGGCCGTGACGCCGCTGAGGCCGGCCAACGCCTCTGTGTCACCTTCGGCAATCCTCTGTTCGATCGCATCGTCAAGGTCGTCGAAGTCCATGTTTCCGAAGGATTTCCGAAGGCAACACAAACTAGGAGCAAAAACAGCTTGAGCCAATGGTTAGGGTTTAGGGGTTGGGGTTCGGCTGAAAAGACAGCTTTCCTGCTAGATGGTCATGTTCTGTCATGTTCTGTCTACATTATCACTGGCTGGGAGTTCTCGCTCGCTCAAAGAATCACTTCAACCTCTTCAAGCAACATGAGAACACTGGTTTCTTGGTTCTGCGGGGGGGTCTGCCCCACGCGAAAACGATGAAGCAGCATGGTCTACGGGGCCACTCTCGTGCTGCAGGCTTTTTGATACAGTGACATACAGTGTCTCAGTTCCCAGCAGGCTCCTCTACCATAGCCTTGGGTTCAAAGGGCCATGCCTCGCCGCCCCTAGCCGCATCTAGCCGCGCTAGCCCGCAAAGGTCTGCAAAGCTTTGACTTCGAGGCTTGGGCACCCGGAGTCCCTGCCGTTTTGGCAAAATCCACGAAGTCGGGATACCTCAGAGACTCACAGCGTGATTACTCACGACTCACGGTTCGCCTGAGTAGCTTCCCCGTGACGCCGAGCACCCCGCGATGAAAAACTATCAAAGTCACCAGAGCTGGCCACAAGAGCAACACCTCGCACGTGCCATTCTGGGCAACATGGCAGAAGTCTGGGAGGGACGCACGCTCAAGAGAGCACGGGCGCAGGGCGACGCAACACTCTTGCCAAGCCCATGGCTCAATGCCAGTTTGCATGCCAACCTTCGAGCCACGACAGAAGTTGCATCAACATCAAACTATTCAAACTTTCCATACAGAATGGGAAGCACCAGAAGACCATAGTCGAGCTCTACCAAAGAAGTTTGGAGCCATCAACAGATCAACAGAGGCGCCAAGGCGCCGGCTCCCGCACCTTCCAGCCGCCTGCAAGGCCAACGGCCCAAATGCCCTCAGCTGATGCGAGATGCCGTAAGAGACCCCATCGGAACTTCGGGAAAAATCGTGGGGGGACTATTCCGGCGATTCCTTTAGGCTCACGCTGCGGAAGGCACGGTGGCGACCTGAAGCTTTTTGGCAGCCCCGAAGCAGATCGAAGAATTATAGCTAGGTCGTCCTCAGGAGCCCGGCTGCGTAGCAGTTCTCTTCACCTCCAGCCTGCTTGATGGCCTCTGCCATTTCTGGCATGGTGTCCTTGCAAGGAATCAGCGGCTGATCTTCTGAGAACTCAGCCTACGGCGGATGGACAGTTTAGGAACCATGAGTGCCCGCAGCGTCCCAATCAGGGTCGTGGGTGAAGACAACCCCACTGCCCAAGTCACCAAGCACCTTCGGGGCTGGCAATCTCGAAGAGCAAGCTCTCCATATTGAAACAGCACCTACTTGTAGGACCTAAATACCATCTGCCCACGCCCTGTCCAGGCAGGCGCCACCTTTTTCCTATCTTGTGTCGAGCACAAGGCGTTTCATCGAGGAGTCTTTGGGCCCCTGCACTTTCGCGCAAAAGCCAGGGGTGTTGCACTCAAATTAAAGCTTCATAGGTCAGGGAGCCAGAACGATGTACAATATTGAAATGCCAACTCCAAAGCAACCTTTGCAGAATTGCGACGGCAGTAAGTCATCGCCTGAGGACGTGCAAGCCCGACCCGTCCACGGCAGGCCAACAAGCGGCACAACAGTTCAGAGGTGGCAAGATCACGGTGACGAGATGCTTTGTGGAAGAAACGGTAACACCAAGTGCTTGTTCCGATGCCACGTGACTCTTCATGCCCCTCTGATGCGAGTGGTGCCGCATGCTCTTCACCCAGACTTTTCCGTGCGTCAAACCGTACAGGCAAAATTACTTGTGTCACGGGCCGTGCAATTAGTATGTACAAAAAGAACGGCGTAGAGACTACAACAACACTTGTGCAGAGCAGCTGGCGACATGTTTGCAGCTGCAGCTCTTTCTGGCAGAGATGCAAGAAGGGCATCTGACGGCCAGGCGCATTTCGCCCGCAGCCCATCTCAAGAGACCCACTTGTGCCATCTTGTGCCATCAGCCGGCTGTTGAGACAACTAGCTCTCCCCGATCTGGGAGGCAGCTGTTGCCCGCGTCACGATGCCACCAGACACCTCTCAACGCCACTTCTTTCTCAACCGACACTTTTCGCCATTCAGCAAAGCCACAAACATGTCGCAAAGCGCATGAACTGAGCAGCTGTTGAGTTCCATTGGTGTGTTTACATACATACAAACATACATCTACACACACAAATATATATGTATATAACCTAAGGGACTTTGCCTTCACCATCGGGTGTAACGGTGTAACTGAAGCTTTTCTTGAGATCTAGAATCTAGATTTCTGTCCTAGGCCTTGAGGCAAACCGACCTCTAAACGGCAAATCACTCTGGGAATGGAATTCGAATTAAATCCTCGCAGATACCATTGGGCTAGAATCCCGCGTGCAAGAAACTCGCAAACACCATGTTCCAGGAAACCTGCGCATTCGAAAGCCTCACGAACAGAGCACGGGCCTAAAGACTATCGACTTCCCTGCCGACCCAAGAAGGACGAACATCCCAGCACTGGATTTCCGCATGCGCAACAACCTCGCAAACACCTTAGCAAATCTGCGCCACTACCCTGACACAGCAACTCCGCCCCTAAAGAAACCTTGTAACACCCTGCCAAAGCTTGCGGATTGCAATTTCGCTCGTGAAGAAAATCCGTGGGGCTGGAACTTCGCACATTCAAACAACTATGGCCAGTTTGGCACATGCGACAATCCCGCAAACATCGTGGCACTGGGACTCCGCGCATGTTTCGATCCCCGTGCAAGAGCCGTGCAAGAACCGTGCAAACACACAGAGGGCCTGGAAGTCCATGCAAAGAGCCCATGCGTCTTCGCCTAACGCGCCTTCACCTCCCAACGTGTCTTCACCTCCCAATGCGTCTTCACCTCCCAATGTGTCTTCGCAATGCGTCTTCGGCTTCAAGTCCTTTCACAACCCCCCCCCCCATCCTGCCTCCTGCTGCAATGTATTTTGTCTATTCTCAAGTGATTACCATTGCCTACATCATCGTTCACTGCCTGCTCGAACTTGCGGCCGCCCTCTCTGCATGACATCCGCAATGTTCCAGCAACGAACGCGATGGAGCCCTGAAGGGTTTGAGCATTGTCGTTCAGTCACGGTCGTTCAGTCATGGTCGTTCAGTCAGTCACATGTCCAGAAACCACTGTCCTAGACAGCCCCGAAGAAAGTGGGTCCAGGCTGGTGACTTGCATATGCACGCACTTGGCCACTGCCAAACCCGTTGACAGCACATGTCATCTCCAGCCTGATCACAGACGCTGACGCCAACTTCGCAGTCGCGCAGCGTGCAGCCATCTTCCAACGTGAGGTGGCCACCCAGAAAGCATAGACATGCGGTATTCACCTGACAGCAGGGGCTAGCATCAGAGGGGGCAACGACATGTCCAGACATGCACTGGCTCATGGAAAGAGAGTTGCTTACAGTGCCGCCATGTCGCATGAGCGATGTCTACCCGCTTCAGCATGCAGTGAGGTTTCGTGACGCCAGCCATGAAGGAGGCAACATCAGGCCCAACAACAACTCCAAACCCTGAGTGGCCCTTTTTCAGACGTATCTGACAATCAGCCACGAGGCAGGTCCCTTTCGCAACTCGCAGAACGGAATCACCAATTCCAGAGGGGCTGGCCGCGCTGGCTCCAACGCCCCCCAAGATGCAGTTCTGTATCTCTACACAGCCATCAACGTCGAGCATCACCTCCAGCTGTTGCAAGCTAAGCGTTGGGAGGTATGCCCTCCAATGGCGGGAAGGTTCGGGAGCTTGCCAGCGCGAACCTGACAGAAGATAGCACGAAGCAATGAGACGAAAAAAGGAACCAAGATTTTGACAAAAGAACAGACACCACGTAGGGCTGCAGGCAGCATGAGAGACGCAGCTGAATCTCCCCTGCACCAGTTAGGAAAGGCAGCGGCAAGCCGATGATCTTCGTTGCCTTCACAAAGCAATGACCCACTGAAATCAACAACTGCTCAGATTTAACCTCCAAGAGCACAAAGTTTTTTTTGCACAAAGCCGTTCGTCGGCACCGACCTTTCTGATGCATACCCTCTGCTCGGCCGTCACATGCTGCTGCGCAGAAGGAAGCAGCGCGATAAGGACAGGCTGCTGACCAACCTGCAGCAGCTTCAACGCCGAGATTTACGAGGAGGGGCAATGCCGGTTATTCACACAAGCACGGCCCAACGGTCCACCTTCTCGCTCCATTGTTCTGCACTAGCCACAGCCTTACAGAAATCCTCTGCCACCTCTGTCTCAACCCCATCTGGCGCATGCACCAGACAGAGCCAGGCTCCTGCAGCAACATCAGCATCTAAACCGCGGGATGATATGGCAGTCTGCTACAGTGTACCCTTCCCAGCCTTTCATCTCCTGCTGGTAGAGCAGATCCAACCATGAGCAGCATCTGCTTGGCAGCTGAATCGGCTTTAAACTGAGCAACTCCTCCGCCAGTGGGAAGCCACAGCGCAGTCTCGCGGCCAGCTGCACCACCGGCATCTCGAGCTTTGCATGCTCCAACTTGCCCAACTCTGCCTCAGAAGAGGAGGTGCCCAATTTCCCCCGGCGCCTCCATGGAAGGGTGATCTGTGTGTAGCCACGACAGGAGCTGGCGATGGCACGCATGGCTGCGGCATCCGCGTGCAAAAGCACGAGAAGCCACAGCTCCGGTCGAAAGAACTGCACGAAAGCATTCCAGGAGAAATTCCGGGTTCTCCCTGCTTGGATGGATTGGCCACTCGCATCCTGCTGCGTACCGTTCTGGCGCTCCTGCGCGAAGTATCGCCGCCATTGCCCATAAGTGAAGCGCCCGCCGTAACATTTCGAATCACTGTAAAGCAGCCCCCCAGTCTCGACTGTAACCTGAGCCTTCGTCTTCGTCTCACCAGACCATGTGCTGGATCGCACCAGGACGTCATCATCCTCCGCGTCCTTGGCAGGCACCTGCTGTACTGTTTTGTGGCCGCTCCCTGACATATCCTGCGGTAGGTCTCCAACTTGGGCCACAAGGACAACCAAGAACAGCACAAGAAGCCGTTGCCAACGACAAAAACGCGCAACGGGAAAGCAGGGACGGTCCATGCAACAGCCAAACCAAACGCTGACCTTGCAGCTGCACAACTCTGTGCATTTTGCACTTACGGGTCATGACGAAGACTCTTTGTGCACCTCCTGAAGGACGTACTGGCCGTTTTTGAAGAGCTCCTGTTCAAGCACTGCAGCACCTACAAGTCCAGGTACGCTACGAGCATGCGTTGCCGACTTATTTACACGTACATGTTCATTGTCTACATGGCTTTACACATGACAAAGCAGGCGGTTCAGTCATTGCACACATCTAGACATGCATACCAGACATGCTGCCCTGTCGTACCTGGTCGTAGCTGCATTCAGGTTTGCATTACATTACGAGTTCTTGCTGGAGCAACACATCACGTTGGGCGACAAAGGTGGGGAAACAGATCCCGCATATCAACAGTCCCTCTGCGCACTCTGTTCTCTACGTACAAGTCCTCATGCGTGCGAGGGAAATTCTGGCAAAGCAGCTAGCATGCATGTTCATACCATCTGCTCGAATACGTGCGGCACATCAAATCTGGTTCCAAACCCTCTTTTCAATCCTAACGTGTGTTTGCGTTGCTTCTTTTGATTGACCCTTTTCTGCGCCGACTTTTGACACGGACCGGGACAGGACTGTCTAATAGGCTCGGGAAGCAGGCCAGGCAGGCGGAAAACTGCTTGTCGTAGTACACACACAAGCCCTCTGAGGGCAAGCCTTCCTGGAGATGTCAATGGCCATCAGCTTGCAGATGCTAACAACAAGCCAACACAAACAGAATCAGAAGGATGTTCCCGCTTATACTAACAAGTCCTTACTTGGGATTATCATTATACCCCCTATTGTAATCATTTGTAACCCTTATTAAGGACTGTTAGTATAAGGGAGAACATCCCAAAGAATCAGCTAGTTGGCGAAGTCCTGCACTAGACCGGCAGTAGTGTCCAGCGAAGCCCAAACAAACCGCGGGAATCCTTGCAACTTTCTTGGAGCACACGTGCCGCTCCCCAAGAAACAACGTGGAGTGCTGGCGCGAGCTGCGCCCCAAGCAGAACCCTTGCCCTCGCGGGGCCTCCGTTCGAAGGACCTGCGGGCGGCGCCTTGGCAGTGCCAACTCCCACTGCCTGCATCTTGAATCTCAGAGACACGGAAACGATGCACGGATCAAGCGTCCTGATAAGCTCAGCACCGCCCAAGAATTCTGCTTTGGGGCTGACTGCCACTTCTGGTCCTGCCACTTCTGGTCCTGTTTTTTGTAATTTATCTTTTTGCTGCTGATTCTGCTACCCCACACTGCGAACAAGAGCACAAGCTCACCTGCCCTGCAGCAAATGCCTCAGGCACACGACAACTTGGCTGAGATGCAACGCATCATCAGGAGACAGGCCAGAACCAAATCTGAATCAAGCATTCCGGGAAAGACTTGCATCGCTTGGGCAAGTGACAACTACTACCTTGTTCATGATTGGCTGCCACCGGCTATACTTCAAGGCCAGATCCTGACATGACGCAAATCGCTTCACTGAGCTGAGGGCACTTCTCTTGGGCGGGCCTCTTCCAGATGTATAACAAGCCACCGAAAAGATACTGCAAGAGCCCAAGAGAGTCTGCATATGTCTGCATCATCTGCAGCTGCTAGCAAAAGAGCCAGGAGCAACAGTTTCATGTTGCAGAACAGCATGCCTTGTTGAAGAAAACACCAGTCATGCTTACCCCACGCAAGCGCACAGAATGGCAGCCATGCTGTTGTGGTGGCCATGCTCTCACATCGAAGTGACGGACAAAAATGGTTGCCGATGTTGCAATTCCCAATGCCTCTTTGAGGTAGCAGGCCGGCTTCAGCCACCATGACCTGGGCAGCCATCCATCGAAGTTCAGCCTTGTGCCTAATGTGCTGGTCTCTTGCCCGTCAGGGCAGCACCCTGAATTCCGGGTAGTTCTTGCAGAAGTTCTCCAGATCATCCGGTGCTGCAGGTCAAGACTTCTTGGGCACTCTGGAGATCCCCCAGTGTCAGTTGCCAATCAAAGCTCAACAGTGCGGGGGGGCGCACATCTTTCAGATAGGAGCGCGAAGCCCAAAGCAAGCTTCACGGCAGTTTCTCGGCCTGACGTCAGCCATGATCTGCAAGCGCTGATTGATTGGCCCCTTAGCGCGCCTTTCCAGCCATTAGCAATACCAACTGCCTGAGCACGTCTCAGGAGAGAATATGTACGTAACATGACAGGGCTCCACAACCAGTCGGCCCCAAAACTACGCCGCTGCTGCATCGAGCTGGCCGGTGACTGTGGTTGTGCGGACTTGGTTTGGCTACTCCTACTCGACAACAGTTGGCTGGTCGTGGTAAGTCAACAATGATATGTTCTTCGGACGTCTTCGGACTTTTCCCACCTGCGAACATCCAATGAAAATGAAAGAACTTCTGCTGGCTTGAAGCCTCCCCCTCACGGCCCATCCACCGAGACCCTTTTGCAGACCGGGACCGCTTCCTTTTTCGCGCGCTTTGACTTGCTCGCGAAAAGTATCCTGTGTTCGCTCGCCTGACAGGATTCACTTATTGGTTCGCGAAACACGCGCCAAACTCCTCAGTAATCCCTCACCCGCTCACATGGGTCAAGTTCCACGCGGCTTGTTCTGATATGTTCTAGTGAATTGTGCATGCAGGGAGCGACAAGCTGCGCGCTCCTTGTTTGAAGAAACGCCTGCGGCTGTCAGAACACATCGCCCCCCTTCTGCGCTTACTTTTTCACTTCTTCGCTTCGAGGTTGTGGTGGCTTCAGACAAGGGCCGCCCGTTCTAGATCTTGTGATATCTCCTGCCTGCAGCCTGTGCCTCGGCAGCAAATACATATATTTCGTGAGGTGTGTGGAGTGCGGCAGACGTCGGCCAGCTCAGCCGCATTTACCCATCAAAGCCAAATAGGCTGGACGGGACACGGCACGCTGCCGACGCTGGTGTATTTCATACTCGGCTTGCTGCAAGCTGCTTTTGTCATTACTTGCCGGGTAGGGGGCGGGTCAACAGGTCATCCTTCTCCGCTTGCTGCCCCATCGCCCCTCCGGACAGCGAACGATCTCGTAGCCTTTGCGCCTCGCTCTATGTCGCTCTCATTCGCTCTGGATCCGCACTTTTTCTTTTGTGCACCCCGTCGGGTCTTCGCATTCTCAGTATTATGTTTTTCTTCTTATTATTCTTCTTATTCTTCTTATTATCTTATTCTCTTCTTCTTCTTATTCTCTTCTTCTTCTTCTTATTCTCTTCTTCTTCTTCGTCTTCTTCGCCTTCTTCTTCTTCTTCTTCTTCTTCTTCTTCTTCTTCTTCTTCTTCTTCTTCTTCTTCTTCTTCTTCTTCTTCTTCTTCTTCTTCTTCTTCTTCTTCTTCTTCTTGGCCCCCCTTCTTTGATTCATGGGCCATCCTGGGACGAACCCCAGCGCATCCTTGTACCGTCTCTGCTGGCGACCTGTGAGTCGCATTGAACCGTTAGGCCGTTAGGCCTGCGCCTTCGCTACTGCGACGCGAAGCTACACCCTGAGAGGAGCTGGGCACTAACTCGGGCCTAGGGCGCGACGCTCCTGTGCTGCATATAAGGGCGCACTCTTCTCTCTCTCTCTGTCTCTGTCTCCCTCTGTCTCTCTCTGTCTGTCTGTCTCGCTCTCCCTCTTTTCCTTCCTTGCTTCCTCTGTACTCAGTCCCCGGAGAAACCGCAAGGGGCGTGCTCCAGTGATCCTGTCGGTTTGTGATTACGAATCGTGGTACCGGCTGGATTGATGCCAACTAGCCTTCTTTTTGTTTTTTTCTTGATGTTTTTTCTTTCTTTCTTTCTCGTTTTCCTTCTTTCTTTCTTTCATTCTTTCTTGGGGGTCATCTCTTCTTCTTATTATTCTTCTTCTTCTTCTTCTTCTTCTCCTTCTTCTTCTTCTGCAGGGCATGGGCATATCTCTCTCTCTCTCTCTCCTTCCTTCTTCTTCTGCTGGGCCTGAGGCCGTGCCCGTGTTGTCCAGTGTTTGTGTGCAACTAAGCACACACTCTCTCTCTCCTTCTCTCTCTCGCGCTCTCTTTCTTGCCTAGCGGCACCAGGATAAGCGTGCTGAGACTGGCTTTCAAGCTGAGTGCCCAACCCATTTTCCGTGGCTGGGACATGTCCCGACGCCTCACTGGAAGCGTGGCAAACTGTTTCAGCCATGCTGTTATAGAAAGTGTAACTTTGAGCAGATCCGGGTAGCAAGTGCAAGTTAGGTAAGGCTCCAGCTGAAGCAGAGCTCCTCGCCACCTTCACAGCTCAATAGCACCATCACATCCCGGTTCTAGATTCTAGAGGGTTTAGAAGCTATAAGTCTATGTGAGCATGGAAAAGCAAGTGTTGGTTCCGACAGTCAAGTGCAAGGATATCACTGACAAACCATCCACATGACCTAGGCAGTTGGCCTGGTGTAAGCGGACTTGCTTCGATTCACAGCAGCAAGTCTACATCCCTCTAATGAGGCAAATAGGAGCGAGGCCTGCATGTCTAATGGACTCTCCAACCTCTGGAAATATGTCCCACTCCTGCCAGGAGCATGCCTCTCATTGCATGCTCACTGCTCACATCTGCCAGCTCCAGACAACTCAGCAGCGGCAGTCCGTATCATGATGAATCTCAACTTCTGCACCTGTGAGCGCACACAACACAGAGCCACAAAGGCCTCTGAACTGCGCCCCAACGACTTAAGTCGCAGGATCCAAGAGAGTTCTTGTGGCCGCGGCTTATGTCGCCCACAATCTCCTGCAGAATTGAATGGGCCTCAAGGTGTGTCTCTCTGACAGTGCAGAACACATTGCAAAAACGTCAGAACCCATGTGCTCCCCAAGTCCCTGGCAGAACTAAACACAGTCATGGACTTGTCGTGCACAAGGGCGGGTGCCTGACGACATGACACAACTCATCAAAACCACTTCCCGCAACAGCCAAAGCCAGCTACGCACCTCGGGAGGGAACCCTTGCGTAGTCAGCTGCGATTCCTGCATCCCACTGCAGCTGTGACAATGTGACATGTTGAATACGATTTGCTTACTCGGCAGCCTGGCTGTTGGGTAAGCTTTTTGGTGCCCATGCTGCTCGGCAACCTGACTTTGCATCCCACGCAGGTCATCCTGGAAGAGCTGCAACATGAGGACTTGAGGTGGTCCCGTGTCCTCCTCGGCAGGACGGAAGGTATAACGCACGCGCGCACGCACTCATGGGATGTGTTGCGAACGGGAGCGAGTTCGTGCGAACAAATGCGAGCAGTCCTTTTGCACTTGGCCCTGCCGCTGCCAGTTACAGCAAACTTACATGTGCATGCAGACATTCTCATAGGAAACACACAGCATCGTTATGGCCTGCCAAGACTGATGTTGCTGCTGCTGCCATGGCTGCGACTGTCTGCTGAAAGGCGCAGGGGCAGCCCCCTGCGAGGAACGCTGGTCGGTTCGATCTTGAAGTTTGGCAAGAAATAAATAGCAATATAAGCTCCATGGTTCTGGGGGAGATGTGCAAATATTTGGTACTTGTAGTCTGCGGGACCTAGAGCGCTAGATAGCCTTAGATGTTCTTCTTTCCACTGGGGGATGTGAAGATTCTGAATCTCCAACACGTTCGATATTACCCCTTGCAACACCATGCAAAGGAGTCCGCGGACTTTGTCAGCAAGACTGTGATACTGTAAGCACATCACTGTTTGCGGCCACCAGCCGCTTTGGGGAATCATGTCGGTGAACACTGGCATCCAGACTGTACCCACATGAAAGACATGAATCGAGGGTACCACCGTTCCATTCTGAAGCAGAGCTTTGTTCAGGATTGAAACCAAGCCGAAAAGCTCACGGATCCCCTTAGCCGAAGGCCATTGAGGCTGTCAGGACCTTGTGCAAACCACGGACAATTATACACCAGAACGGCAACATCGGAAACCAGAACGGCTGAATAGAACAACCAAGACACAGGAATCGACCCGAACAGCTGAATCAGAAACCACAAAACCGCCTGACTCGGAAACCACGGAAGGGCTGAATCACGAAACATCTATGATACAGCTGACTCGGAAAGCAGGAAAGAGGTGCTGAAGGTCCAAGGCGCAGGTTTTGCACCATGCTGGTTCGGCAGTTGCTGTTGGAGTGACTTCTGATTCTGATTCGGATTCGAGAATTTGGATGATTCTTCGCGAATGATTCTTCGCGAATGCGAACCCATGAGGACAACCATTGACAGACATTCGCCAACAGAAGATGCGGTAGCGTGCGCCTTGTAGCCCGCAGGCGGGATCAGCGGCCTTGGATCGCATCGTGGCGCATGGATTTGGGACATGTACGTCACCCGATCGAATGCCATCTGAGACAGCGGCCCTCCGCCGGCCTCAGCTCAATTGGCTGAGACTTTGACGTTCTCCGAATGAGATCTCAGATGTCTCAGAGCCTGGCTGAGTTTTTGCCCGGCCTGCCTTTACCATAAACAGCAGGCGCAGCAGCAGGAGCACCCCACTGACCTGCAAAGCCCCATGTGTTGGGGCGATCCGCCTTTTTCTGCAACATCTTGCTCACATGTTGCTCTCCCAAGCTCATCTGGCCTTTGCGCATATCTGCGTGCACCCATGAAGGCCCGCTATTGAGTTTCTGAGCAAAAACGGCGGCGATCACAATTGCGTCGTAAAGTCGTCTGACTTTGTCAGCCATGCCCTGTCCTGCTCCGGAATCGAAGGCCCGTGTGCAGCACAATCCAACAAACCTGAACATGACCTCCATGCCATTCAAGCTGCAACCCGGGCATCTTTTGTGGTTCCTGCTTCTCCGCCGGTGTTGCACCCCGCCAGCTCAACTGTGCCTGCAGGAACATGCGCTTTGGGAACGACGAATGTGGACAAGCTTCCAGGTTGCTTCCGCCTGTGACGCCCTATTGATGCTGTGGGCCTCAATGTCGAGCTGCTGCAAGCCTTGTCGCGTCTCCTCGTGGACTCGACTCATGCTACTTGCAGTCCTACAGCACGTGCGACAAGGCCAGATCTCTAATCTTTGAAGAACACACATCTCACACTGGTTGCCGGTAACCTCCAGCACAAATGTTCGAACTATGTATATAATCACACCCTTCTCCTTCTCCTTCTCCTTCTCCTTCTCCTTCTCCTTCTCCTTCTCCTTCTCCTTCTCCTTCTCCTTCTCCTTATCCTCCTCCTCCTCCTTCTCCTTCTCCTTCTCCTTCTTCTTCTTCTTCTCCTTATTCTTCTTCCCTGCGGACTTGGGGGCACATCCCGCGCGTCAGCACGCCCGCGACTCGAGCATCCACGGTTCTCATCCAGTTATTCGGGACGGCTACGTGCTGTGGCACAGTCGGCGTGACGTGGATGCCGCCCCACTTGCAGTTGCTGGTGCATTCCCGCTTCTCAAACCCTCTTGAACGGGGACCAGAGGAGGAGGAATGATCAACGGCACCAACACATTGGCCGGTCGCAGTCGAGGGATGCATGGTGACGGGGTGCCGAACAAGTTTTCAGCCCGGCAACAGCTTTACAAGAGTTCCGTGCTGCTCAGCACTGGGACGCAGAGAATGCAGAGAAGGCATCGTTGTCCTCTCAAGCTGCAGACTGCCACGAGCACATCCCCGCTCTCCGCTTGGAGCAGGAAATGACGGGCCTCTCCTTAAGCCCTAATCGTGTGGCAGCGGGAGAGTGGGTCGCTTGGAGCCTGAAACCGTTTCGACAGGAACAAGCTGTCTCGGCCCACGACTTCGCCACCCGAAGCCCACGCCCCTGAAAGCAAGAGACTGACACAGGTGAGGCCAGTAGAGAGGCCTCCAGCTCCTCGTCTCCTTCATGTTACTCTTGTCCCTCTGACAGGCATTGGAGCTTGCCTGATCCCCTCTTTCTGTCTCCCGTGCTGTGGCCATCGCTCCAAAAAAAGCGCAGGGAGATGCCCGATTCACGAACACGTTTCATAAGAACTCTTGCAAGGGATGTGCTCCTGCCTACGCTCTACACAAAACACTCCCAAGCGTTCATGGAGACATCAGCAAAATCCAGGCGTCGCCTGCTTGCAGTAGTCTTAACTCTCAACCATAGCCAATGCTCATGAGAAGGGTCTCGAATTTTGGGGATGGTTGGGCTCTACGGGACTGGAAGTAGCGGGAGTGTGCCGCAGCGGAAACCATGGAGGGTCGTAACGGAAAACGCGTAGCGAGCAAACAAAGTGCTGTGTAGCAAAAACAATGCAGGCAGGTAACGAAAACCAGGCCTTGCCGAACTCTGCCAAATGCCCTTTTTTGCATCATCTTAAACACTTCTCGAACCAGGTCGTTTTCTGTCAGCACCTTTCTCCCTGAACCCCAAACCTGCAGTGGCAGCAGTTACAAGTCCCAGCGTTGTCGTCTCACAGCTGGCCTCGTCTTCTGTTACGGTCTGGGGCTGTTTTCCGCTACAGGCGCCTGGTAAAGGATACCGGTCTCTTTCGGCCAGAGGGCTCCCTTCCCTTTCTCAACTTGTCCTGGCCGGTTTTGCTGCCGAAGAGAACCCACTTCAAGTAGTTGGCAAGGAGGTTCCGAGCCTGTGGCCACTGATGCACCAATATTTCCGGTACATGTGGGTCTGGAATCTCACACTACATGTGCTCTTCGGCAGCCGGCACTTGTCTTCCGCAGAACTGCACACAGGTGCTCCCCATCTCCTGCAGAGTCTTCATACCTCAATGGAAGCCACGGCAGTCACAGCGATTCTGGCATCAGGTTCGGCAATGGTAGTGACATGACTCATTTCTGGCTCACACTACAAACCCACTGGTTGTTGAGCCATTGCTGCATTTGTGCACAAACCACGCGAGGCAACCGTTCAGGGTCCCCACACAACATTATCTGCCGAGCTTGTGTCGGTCGGCACATCATGCTGTGTGCATCCTCTCACTCGCCACATCTCGCTTGGCAAGGGGTCCAAAGGTGCTTGCAGCGAGTGGAAGCAGGGGGGGGTGCTGGAGATAGCAGCACAACCATAACAGTACGACTGGCCACGCATCGGAGCTCTGCGAATTCCCCTGCTGGGCAGGGACAACTGCTATCATAGTAGCATACTTTCATGTCAGAAAGATGTAAGCCCGGCACCTACGCAACAGCCGGTAATAGATACTGTACACAATACACACACACACAAGCAAGCAAGCAAGCAAGCAAGCAAGCAAGCAAGCAAGGAAGGAAGGAAGGAAGGAAGGAAGGAAGCAAGCAAGCAAGCAAGCAAGCAAGCAAGCAAGCAAGCAAGCAAGCAGCAAGCAAAACCAAACAAGCAAGCAAACAAACAAACAAACTCACTCACTCACTCAAACACACACACACACACACACCAATCGGTCACCTGTTGCTCGTGTATGTGCGAAAAAGACTCCAGCTTGAAGGTCAACCCGGGGGCCAACGAAACACAGGATTACACGCATAAATTGAAACAACCATGACCATAACAGACAAAATTGCAGTACATGCTGACTTTTCTGTAAGACCTCCCGTGCGGGGCAACAGGCTTGTTTTGCCCCGCGAGTTGCGCTCGGCCATGTATCGTGGCACCCGTTCATCATTCCTAACCACGCGGGTCCCTGTGAAGCCATCTAGGCAACCCTCCCACTCCAAAATTCTGGCCCCCCTGCACATGTTGCAGCTACATCCACTGCAGGACCGAAGAAAGACCAGACTTAAGCCTAGCTCGCGTTGGCCGCCATGATTCACGCCTATCTCGAAAAACTCCTTGGCATCCGACTCTGTGAGGTCTGCAGCTGCCAGCAACACCTTGCACTGCACAGACAAAGCAATCACGTAAACCGCCCAGCGGCCCAGAGTCTACATCCAAGTCGGTCCTGTCGAACGAAAACGCAGCCAACAAAAAGCACCTGAGCACGATTGTCGTGGCCATCGCTTTGCTGCAGCTCAAGCACCTACGATCACCTATGTATATGATCGTACATATGAACGCTACATGGGACAGCTCTCAGGGTGAAGATAGGGCACGAGAAGACCGTCAATGGCCATCAAGATGATGACCTGTGTCGAGTTCATCGTGGACTTTTGCCGTCACCCTGCCGCTATGATAACACGCAACCAAAACCATTAATGACTGTTAAGATGCACAAACATTCGGGGAGACTCTGTCCAACAGCCCGGTCCAACTAGATAAATCTAAACAACTAATAACGGCAAACAGCCGTCAAAGGGATGGCACTTCAATGTGGCAGAAGATTGCGAACCCTTCGCATGAGGTTCTATCACTCCCGGCCCCAGCAACCCCAACTGGAAGACCATTTGCTTGTGGGACAACAGATGCATCGGAGGAAAGCAGCCATACGCTCGTCTTCTGCGTGATGGCCGGACATAGGGTGACGTAAGGCGGCATTGCAGCATGCCATATCATGCCCACCAATCCCATGAGAATGTGGTAAGATGTGGGAAGAGCATGGACGCGCATGGCATCCGGCAAACAGCAGGATCATGAAACATCATGATGGGGGAGCCACACGAGAGCCAAACGCTCAACCTCGACTCCTGGCCCACCAGGTGACAACGCATCGTCCGCGTGCCCACCAACATATGGCCGTAGTGGATAAACGGAAAAATTTGAACAACTTGCGGCAATTCATCCGAATCCTGCATGAAGAGCGAGCATGATCCACAGCATCATCAGAACTGAACTGCAACAGGCACAGAGTATGCACTGGATGAATTCAAGATAAGAACAAAAAAACACATAATCATACGCAATAAGTAAAACACATCCGAAGCCAGTCAAGCATTCCTCCTCTCCCATGCTCGAAGAACTTGGATGCTTCCAAACATTTGCCACCTGGGGCGCCAACGGCATTGTACCACAGAGGCACCTCCACCTCTTGCAGTGCCTGGCCGGCTGCCTTCCAAGCTGCTGTGTGTGGATGTCTGCTGGCGCTAAACCCCAAACCCTAAACCCTTTTGCAACTGGGCTTGCGGACGCCAGCTCCAAGCAGCACTGAGTTAGCAGTCTTTAGGAACCCTACACCCCAAACCCGAAACTAAACCCTGAATCAACAGGTTTCAGGATGTTTCATGCGTGATTACCCATGCAGGGTGGGCCTCCAGGCCTTCGAAGGCAAGCCCGAGGGCAAGCAACAGAGACCTCACTTGCTGAAATGGCAGCAAGCAGCAGGGCACGGTATGACGAATCCATACTCGCACGCTGAGGCTGGCACAGGAGAGTTGATGCAAGAAACCTCAGCATGCGGCAAAAGAGGCAGAGTATGTGAAAGGTGGGATTCCAGATCAGTGCTCTCGAGGTCCGGCTGAGACTGACTCACTAACTTAAACTAAAACCCTTTGTGCACACACATATGCGCGTACACGCACGCACGCACGCACGCACGGACGCACGGACGCACGCACGCACTCACACGCACACACAACGCGTGAATGGCTCAGTCCGAGTGGGACATCATACATGGAGCATCCAGCTCGGCTGGGGAGCGCATACGAAAAAGCTAAGCCTGCAGCCGCAAGAAAACACCCCTCGGAAAACGGTCAAAGACAAACTACAGCCATGTCTGCATTGCATGTTTCCTGACATAGTACACGCTTCGAATTCGGCTGAGTCGCAGGTTGCCCTCACCAATGCCTGGAATGACCGAGAACAAGCAGCAAGTGCTGCGCCCCTGAGACATGCCAACACGCATGCTGCAAACTGCTAAAACGGGAGTGTGCGATAACAAGGACCCCGAATCTAGACCCCCAAATAGTAGGATCCCCTGAGAAATCTTAGAATAAGGACCCCAATAAGGTACCTCGAATATCGTAAACCCCCGTACTGCTTCCAAGCCACAGTTGCCCAGCCAAGGGCAGTGGTGATCAAATCTTGCTACACAGCGTCCACACTGCCTCAAGGCCAGACATACGGGCGAGACGTTGTGACGTTGTTCAACAGCTCAACTTGTCCAATCCTGCCTGCAGTGCTTGCAGCGCTTTGTCCGCAATCTCCCACAAACTACACAGGCTTTCTTGCCCCAGCCTGCCAGCACGCCGCAACTGTGGCAACTACTCAACCGCCACAGGCTCTTACAATAAACAAAGCCGCGCCGCTGTTTTTTCTCTGGCCCGGCTTACCCGTCGCTTCCGGACGCAGAACTGGCCATCCTTGGCCAATCGTTTGGGGAAAGGCCAGGATGCCAGAAATTCACCAGCAACACGATCCGGCTCTTGTCGGAGCGGTTCTCCACTGAGTGCTCATAGGAGTCGTCAAAGACAAGACATTTCCCCTCTTTCCAAGTTCGAGGTGGGCCACTCCCAGCAACGATATGGCATCCATCTGGTATGATAAGTCCCAAGTGGCATGTTAAGCGCATGTTGGTCGGCCCACAATGTGTCCGAAGACTCGTGTGTGGCTTCAGCAAGGAGAAGAGAGCTTCTCCTACTCCGAGACGGGCGCATTCTACAGCTTCGGGTCGAGATGCTAGTGCAGCCGAAGTCGCTGGACACCTCTGCCGATTCGCAAAACATTGATCAGAGTCGCCCAGCAGGATGATCTCCTGCCAGTCTCCACTTTCTATCAACCCTCCGTCATGCGCAGCGCGACCTCCCACACGACTCCAGTCAGATTGCGCACTTGACAATGCAAGGAGCTCCGCTTTAATCGCTTCGTACGCGGACTCTAGTCGTCGGCAAAGTTCGAACTGTGAAGCCGAATGCCAAGGCTGCGACTTCAAGCCTCGAAGGAAATGCCCCGGACGCTGGTAGGGGTCTTCCCACAGAATGCGCCTGGACACGCATTTCTCCGCCCACGATCGACAAGCCTCCAGGTCTCCCTGAGCATCCAGCACTCGATTCAACCACACATGAAGGGATGCAGCAATTGCAGCATCCCCTTCGTCCACGTCGTGCAGCACGCTGGCTAAATAGCCCTGAGCACGCTGCAAAGAATCGAGCCTTGCCCTTCCATCTAGCTTCCGAGACCTGAAAAACCAAAGTTCTCCAAGAGCACCCATGAGTCCAGCATCCAGAAAGTGCGCACCATGACGGGCAGTTTGCAAGTCCCACGCCATGCCGTGAAAATACCCGTACTCAACCCTAATACCCAGATGCTATAAGAGTGGTACAGCACACCAACACCTTCAACCCTTTTCTGAACATCTTTCTGCACCTTCAAGCGCGTGAACCCACTCCCCGTTCTGGGGCAGAAAGCCGACCACAAGCTAAATCCACGACTTGAAACCCTAGCAATTCCATCACAATTCCATCACCGTCATGAGACTCTAAAAAAATAAGGCATGTGGATTTCATGGGCTTTCAATGCTTCAAGAGATTCTCCATGACGGCAGCTAGCTTCAAGCACGTGTTGAAGCAAGCTCTACGATGCGGTGATCGAACTAGTGTTCGTTTCTAGTGACGGCGTTTCTTCATTTTTCTGTTGTGTGTAGATTCCTCAATCTAGTCTCAGCGTGCAAGCAATTGGGGCTGCAAGTTGCCTGCGCCGCACTCCCAGGCACCTTTGCTGCAACAGGCTCCTCGGCCACTTGTCTCATTAATGAGAACTGCGTCGAGTGAACAGGCAAGTGTGAGACTTGCAGTTGACTACCCAGCGCACTCCGAAGGCAGCCAAAGATTATGAAGAGCGAAATGAACTCATATGAGTGTCGGACAACTTTTGCCAGGAAAGTGAAAGGACGGGAAGCCATGTTATCGCTTTAGGTGGGGCCTAATATCGCTTTTCGTACTGTGGGACCATGAGACCATGCCTCAAAAGCTTGCATTGATTCTCGCAATACAAGCCTAGCACTGGAATCGATGTTTCCGTAAGCCGGCTGAATTTCATTGTTTTGTAGTACGAGCCTTGAAGCTCAGCACTAGAATCACTGGCAACGATGTTCCCGTAAGCCAGCTGGATTTTCATTGTTCTCCACCCTCTTTCTGCAGTTGTTAAACTCTTCTCCTCGGCCGGTCAGGCATCCCGAGCGTGCCCAGCCTCAAGAGTATCCCCAGAGAATCCCTCAAGTGCCCATTTCAGAGCATCCCCACAAGATCCCTAAATTGCCCAGCCCCAAGAATATCCCCCCGAAAAAGGCCCTGGAGTGCAACCCAGCGTACCCCTAAAGAATCCCTGGCATGCCCAACCTTAGAGTATTTGCAGAGAATTCCTGGAGTGCCCGCAGAGTATCCCCAGAGAATCCAGCATTTAAACTCACCCGTACATGGCTTCGATGCTGCTCACTTAGAGATGCATTGGCAGTTCGCTCACCCGTACATGGTTTGAGATGTAGTAACGTGGTTTCGGCGCTGCATTACAACGCACATTTTGCTGCTTAGCCTGTGGGAGGCTCAGCGTAATCACCGCAAGAGTCCATGCAGGCAGACAAAGCAACATCAAGACCTGAAAAGCAGGGTTCGCAAGATACTCCGCTAGCTTCCGGGGGCTAGCTTTCGTGATCAGAACCACACAGAACTACGGAGCTTGCACATCCCGTTGCACTTTTGCACTACCTTGGAGTCCTAGCAGGTCGAAGGCATCCGGCTTGTGCGGCCTCTTCTAGTCTCAACTTGGTGCATGAACAGCCAACTTTGCATGGGGGCACCCGGAAGGCATGACAAGGAAAGCCAAGCTGAAAGACTTCCGGATTGCCATCCATGCGCGGGTCTTGCGCGTGCTTGCGCCAATGTAGGAAGGGCAGCTGTCGTGGACGTTCCGTCTGCGATGCGCACCGCGACACCCCGCATTGGGCCAGCTCGGCTGTCGAGGCGGCGGGCGCAAGCGTTAACAATTACATTCATCCCAGACTCCAACTGCCAGTGGCGAGATCCTGGCCTGCCGGCTCAAGCTCGGTTTCCTCCGACGATGCGAGTCGTGCATACCTGGCCGTGAAAGGCCAGAACCCAGCGGACTGTCTGCAAATGGATTCGCAGGATACGTTTCACAGGCCGAGGCACTCATCCGAGCAACTCATCATCCGGGCATGCGGCTCTGGCCTCGAAAGTCGCATCCACTCTCTGTCTTGTGTTCCTCCGCTCCGGATCTGGTCCATAGCTACAGCATGTAGCCATCTAGGCCACACACTCAGATTCTGCGTTGTCTGGCATGTGTGATGCGCCTCTGGTCATCCAACATTCCAAAACAAGCAAAATACCAATGCTGGGCGCGAAGCAATATCCAGGGTCAGACCAGCATGACCGCCAAAACAGCCTTCACTTGCACAGAGCACCCTTCGCTGGCAGAAAGTTGCAGCTCATGCCACTCGGTACCAGGGGGGTGCCTGAAGGAGATTAGCTGTCCAGCGAGTTGAAGTCCTGCCAGCCCGGCCTGACAAGGAATACACTGCCGGGTGGACCTCTACAGCTACAAACCTTCCGTCACTGGAATGTCGTGCCTTTGCTGCACTTTACAGCAGTAGGAATCTGGCAGCATTTGGTGACAGGCAGTCGAGGCGATGAAGCTGCGTAACCTTCCACAAAACACACGTATGACTCATGTGACATCATCATCCTTGCGGCTCCTTCTGTTAGCCCCAGCAACTGCTCAGGCCCTCTCACTCCAAGCCCCAGGCCAACACGCACAGCAGCAGGAACGAGTTCAAGCCTTCAGTCTTACATGCTTTGGAAGTGCTCGGCTAGACTGTTCGGCAAACTCAGACCGGACTTTGCCAAATGGAGTTGCAACTCTGTTCAATTCCGCATTCAGCGGGGCAAATTTTGGATCAGTCGTTCTGGGGCCTATCGACAAGCGATCTTTAAAATTGATGCCGCTCTCACGTGCCCATGGTGATCCAGAACTCCGCTTAGCGGAGCTTCGTCGCCTAAGCAAGGCTCAAATCTTCCGACTCAAGTGCTTGCTCCGTTTGCCGGCCAAGGAGCATAATTCAGGAAAACTCGTGACCGTGGAGGATAGATTGCTGTTTCCTGGGGCTGAAAATGCATCAGCAATCACACGCTGGCCCATGTACCAGACAAGCGTCTGCAAATCCGATCTCGGACAACTTGCTCTGAATCTCCTGCAAGATTGCTCTTTTAGCATCTTCAGGATGGAGCGGACAGTGATTGCCCAGGGGATCAACAAAAGAAACAACAACCATTTTCAGTACATGTGTTTCGGTGCGAAGATTTCTCAGAAAGGTGCTGCAACTAGCCTCTCGACGCCTACTCTCATAGACATTCCAAAACTCCTTTGCAAATCCTCCAAGTCGAAACTGCGAGCGTGCAACTATACCCCTTCGACGTGTGGAACCCGTGCAAGATGTCATTAGACTTGCATTTGGAAGCTCTGAACACGGGCTGCGGCTGCAACTGTTCTTCGCAAGAAAAAGCATACAACATGTGGAACTGTAACTGACAGCCATTCGGAGGCTCGGAGGCCCTGAACGCGTGCAAACGGTGCAGCACATGGACGCTTCTCTGGCAGCGCCGAAGAATGCTCTGCTTTATGGCGTGCTTAGCTGCAGTTTGCATTGGCCCGCTTGGCTTTGGCTTCGGTGCTTATGGCGCGTGATTGGAGGCAGGCGTGTTTATGAAGGCATGGCATGTTGATACACAAGAGCTGAACCTTCTTTAACTTGTCTGGCTTTGCTTTTTGACGTGGCTTTGCAATCGCAGGAAGGATTTGCAAACAAAAGAAGGGCTGCATTTTCAACATTGCCCACCCTGGCATTTCACGTCGAGGCAATTTTGCATCGAGCTCGCTCAAACTGTATCCCGGAATGTGACTGTTCTGAGGCGGGTCCCTCGCACAAGGTCCCGTATGTGGAGCGTCCTTGGCCAAAGGCTTCCCGGACGCTGTTGCAATCGCCACCCTGCCGGGTACGAAGGTGACATATGCCTTTTTAGTCTTGTCACAGCAGCTTGTGTCCTGCCGCCCACTTTCAGTATCCTGTGGATGCCTGGGCAAGGGATACTCAGAAAGTCTTCGCGGATGTCAAAACAGCGAGGTCACGACAACTTCCTGGGCCGGGGAGCCTTTCAACACATCCTCGGGATGCTCCACCTCCGACCATCCGAATGACCACCACACCTGGCTTTGGAAGGACAAACAGCCAAGAAATGCCGCTGGTTGAAGCGGTTCCGCAACAGGAACATGCAAAGCTTGCGCCCAGTCTGCAAGTAAGACACATAATCAACCTGCTGGTCTCGAAATGGCAACTCTTCCGCGTCCGCACGCAGGAGGAACAGGCCCTGCTCTGGACCTATCTCTTCGTCCTCGCTTTCCTTAGGCACAAGAACAACCCAAGTCAGACAAGAAAGGGCCAAATCCAAGGACTTCGTGATTATTCGTGATACTTCGTGATACTTCGTGATACTTCGTGACCCTTGGCGGGGCCAAAGACATGGTACAGCATGCAGCATGTGACTTCCCCCGGCCTGCCGGGCCTGGCCAAGAGCTGTGGAGTTCTTGTCCAGACCTGCAACACAATGGGCCAGCGAAGCACCAAGCGGCTTTTGTGGGGGATATGGTGCCTTTTGTTGAGGAGTCCACACTATATGAAATTTCAGATGAGCTGCCAAATACCAGATCGAACTTTCGAGAAGACCTGAAAACTGGGCCACTGAGTACCAAGCCAGACTGCAGTGCTCTGCACTGGGTTACTGAGTTGGGTCTCAGGGTGAAGTGCTGAACCAGCCACGCAAAGAGGCGGCTTCCATCGCCGGTGCCGCAGCCAATGTCCAGTACAACGCCGCGGTCTTCAGCCTCGCGCCCCTTTTTGAAGAACACCTTTCACATCAGTTAAAGCCACTACACTGACCCGTTGGCTACGGTACCTGGGCCTGAGAGAGTAGAGTGCCATCTGAGTCTGAGTGGCCTGGGCAAAGGCGGCATCCCGCAGCCTTTGGCAAGGTTCCGCTCTGGGCAATGAAGAACCCAAACGACCCCACGCAAAACCAAGTCTTCAAAGCTTGGTAGGGAGGATCTGAGAGGTGAACTACTTCCACAAAGAGCCAAGACAGGGAGAGCGAGAGCGAGAGAGAGAGCGCGCGCACACACACACACACACACGCACAAGAGAGAGAGAGAGAGAGCGAGAGCGCACACACACACACACACACACACACACACACACACACACACAAACCCATACACACACGCAGAGAGGGAAAGAAGCAACAAAAGACACGAGGAAACAGACAACGAGAAAAAACAAATGCGGATGCTTTGTGACTGTACGTACGTATCTCCGAGATGGTAATCTCACATTCCACCAGGCTTCAAAGTAAAGTCCTGCAATTTCTCGGTTTTATCGAGATCCCTGTCTGTATCCTTGCGAGTTCGGCAAAAGGCCTTGCGTTTCCTTCCTGGTAGAAACCTTAGACATCCTCACGGCCAATCTACTTAGTGGGAACTTGCACATCTAATGTCAAGCCGTTACCTAGAAATTGAAACGGCCACATTGGCCTATAGCAAACGAGAGGGAAAATTCTTCCAGCAGCAGTCGCAGCTCAACTCGCAGAAGTTCCACGTTCACTCAAGCTCATTCTGCGACGAAATTGTCGGGCGTCTGTGCCCCGTTCTACCAGAAATTCCGGAGATCTTGTGTGCAAGGCGCCAAGAGCTGAAAGAGAGGCGAGCAGACCCCGCCACCGTTTTCGATGGAGTCGCATATTTTGCTTTACAAGGCGGCTCTGGAGAGAGGGCGCCAGAGGGCTTGCAGAGAGACAGGGAAAAACCGAAGTCAGAGCAAAAACGATTGGGCAAGCCAAACCCCATTGAACCGCCGCCAGTTACACCCAAAAAAACAGATACCCGAGGAGAAAGTCCCAACATCCACCGCTGGCAAAAAAGAAGCTGACCTTCACCACCTATAGCAAGCAAAAGAGAAAGGCAGAACAACCACCTCCCTGCCCTTGGAACCGTTGCTCCAAGCACAGGCACGGTGAAGGAAAACCTGTGTTTATGAGAGGGAGGTGTGACTTTTGGGCCTGCGCGAGGGTTGCGTGAGGTTCCCTGCTCATATCGGCTCAAACCCTTGACAACAACCCTCAAGCCTGCCAACAAACGTGAATGTGACCCTCTCGGCTGCTTCCCCGGGCCCCCACTTGTGCAGAAGCACCCAATTAGAAGCAAGTACCGGCAGTTGTGCTTCCCCTAATGTAGGCAACGATCGACAAGAAGTCGCCACGACTTTGGAGATCTACGGCTCATGCCCACAGAAATTCTGCTCATGCCAAGCGACGGATCCGGCTTCTGCATGGCACCAGAATCGTGTGCTTGCCAGCCGAGGCTGTACTCGATGGCTCGCGACATCTGCTTCTCGTACGGCTCAATTTTCACAATCCTGGGAGGGTGGGAGCGTCGAGGCCCAAGTCGACACTTTTCACGCGCATTCGTGGGGAAAGGAAAGGCATAGTGGCGTAGTTCACGACTGGAAGGGGAAGGGGCTTTTGTTCACTTGAACACTTGTGTTGTGGTGCAGTGGCGCTACCCGGAATGCTGACATGCCTGACAAAAAACATTGCAGCCAGATGGGGATTCGAACAGTCTGTGAACAGCGAGTTCTGAAAAGACTTGGCAAGCCACTGGCCCTTGTTCAAGCGCATCAAGGCTTGCTGGTAGAACTCATAAGGCTGCTCCTCCCCATCCGGGTTCAAGTAGGTGAGGACTTCGTTCGGAAGCCAGGCTGAAAACCCTTCTTGCTCGGAGAGCCAGATGACCACTTCCTGCACAAGCAGCCCATCTGTGCAAAGTACACTTTCCAGTTGGGCACGCTGCACAATACCCTCCGATCATCTTAAAAACTCTTAAAGCAAGGTGCCGTCAGCCCTGTGTCTGGGTCATCAAATTGCACAGTCCCGGTCTGGCCAGCCAAATTGGCCATCCCAAACTCCCAGCGCACCTCCCTGGCCAAAGCGGCAGATTATAGGAACATCCAGGAACAAGCGCTCTGACACCAGGTGCTAGCGGAGCAAATCAAATTGCCAACATGGCCGGCCTGTGATTATCAACAGCTGCCCGCAGCGTCGACAAGTCTGCAACCCTGACCTTCCTTTCCTCCTCCGCGACGTCGCCTGCATCTTCACCTGTTTGGTCATACTCCTTTCGGCGCTCCTCGTCGCTTAGGATGCGGTACGCCAGGAGCACATCTTGAAAGACCACAGCATCCCCGCCAGTGTCTGGATGCGTCTCTTTGGCTAGCCGGATGTACCTGTACACAGGGTCCAATAGTTGCAAATGCCAGTCTGGAGCACTGAACTGAGCTGCGTAGCCCTGGATGCAGTCCAAGCATCGCTTTCCTGATTTCTTTGAGCGTCGCATTGGCTGTAACTCCCAAAGTGTCATAGGGGTCCTCGTGAGTTCAATCTGACCGGTCTGGACCAATACAGTACATTCGGTGCCTCGTTCGATGGCACCGTGGTGCAAGTTGCTTAACCGGCTTGACCATGCTTGACCGAGGGGCAGGTGCTTCGGTGCTCTCCTCTTCCTTTCGCTTCAACCAACGTCGTCGAAAGGGTGGCTCGTCTGAGCTGGCGACATTCTCTTTTCTCAAACATTCCTTGGCTATGGCACTGCGGCATTGGCTTGAGTGAAGCATGGCAGCTGCCATGGTTGACACCTGGCGACTTTCATGCAAGGAGTGATGGCCCTGCGACTGAAGCTAAGGGGAAGCGTTTGCGCGAAGAAAGTCTGCAAGCATGCAAACCTTGAACTGAATCTGCTGATTATGCCAGAGCCTCGGCAATGTATCCTGGCACTTTCCCATCGAAACCAGGACCCCAGCAACGCTTACCTTCGGCTTGGAACGCCATATCGAGGGCTTCCCATGGGGTCTTCTTGAGGTCGACCGGAGGAGCCTTGGGCTTGTAAACATTGCAGTTGAGTATCATAGGAGTGAGAGGGAAGATCCGATGAAACTCCATAAAAAATCAAGTTTTGGCAAGATGCCAACTCTTCAGCAATTTCTACCACATCTTGTACGTCTTGCGCCACGGCCCTGCGCGAGAAGCCATTGCAACTTGTCCAGTCCTGGACAGCAGGGACTTATGCATAACCCTTTTGCGTCCGGACTCCTGTGGGTGCTGCCAGAGCAGAGATTGTCCTTCTGCGTCCAGGGTAACTTTGTGACGAAAAGCCTTGTCAAACCTGAGCTTCTGCACTATTCTGGACAGGGTGGACGATCATCTCTTCTTGACTGCTTCTTGACAAGCATCAAGAGTCATCAAGACAACCGATTAAGAACAGAGAGCAAACAAGAAGGGCAGACTATGGCGGACTGGGCCAAGTCGCCCAAGAACGGGAGGGAACTTACGGCAAATGCGACTAGCCGCGTCTTTCGCCGGCTCATGGCATGCAGAAGTATCTAATACTTGCCAAAGAGTTGGATTCCCAGCTACAGCTACTGATACTACTACGCGAAATACGCATTGCTCGCTCCCTGGTTAATCATCTGGTGTTTGCAGTTTACACGACTATCCTGTGCGGCTCCAAATAACCACATGGCTGGCTGCTGTTGGTTTGGGTGGCGTCAATGTCGACTGAGCCCATCTCAGATGACCATACCCTCATGATGTATTCGCGAAGCAGAGCTGCCACTGCCGCGCGATGTTCTGAACAATGCACTGCTCAATGTGGTCCAGGCTGTGCAAGCAGGGCGTCAGGAATACCATGAAGAGGGTCATAGGCTGAGCGCAACCAAGGAGAGTGACAATGAAAGCATGGCTGCGAGGCTGCTACCAGTATGGTTGTATGAACCTTGGATTCGTTTCCCCAGCCTGCCGCGGCATGAGCTTCATCAGAGAGAAGCGATTCACATGACCTTTAGGACAAGAAGGTGTGACTGCTCTGACTGCTGTGGTGAGGCGCATGCCTGTCTTTGCGTGGCTGTGCCATGCCTGACTGAGCAGTCTTTTGCCGACCATACCCCTCGACCCAACATCAAGACCAGGAGCACACAAGCACGCGGAAGGCCTTTGCATGAGCCAGGTGGGCCTTCATACAAATGTCCTGAGAGGCTCCGCACTCTTCAGCCATCTGAGAGCATCAGCTTACGCATCGTCGCAAGCTGTCCATACATCGAGTCAGGTCTTGCGGCCTTTTGCCTTGGCAGTCCTTCGCAAGGTTATACGACCAGCGGCTATTCTGGATCAGCTGAGTCCAGAAAGGTGTCCTTGACTTCAAAGGCCGCGAGGCCACCAAAGGAACTCGGGTGAATTCCATACGCCTTACACGGGAGCTTCTCCGGCCCAGACTTGACAAGTGTACGAAGCCCCGTGCCGACTCGACAAGGGCACCACGGCCATGAAAAGCAGCCCAATGAAGGGGGGTTCCTCCGAGCCAACTGGGTTGTAGATCCGGGCTCTTGTCAGTAAGCGATTTCCCACTAAGTGCCACACTTTGTTTCGCATCAACCGCTAGAGGGTCTGCGCCGCGCCTACTCTAGGCAACCAAGCAGAAGCACCTCTTGAGCAGCAGGACGAGCCTTAAAAGCATCTGCGTCGCCAGCATGTTTCCAGCCATCACCTCACATCTGACCCTGTTAAGGCAGCGCTCTGGCAGCACTCTGTCCCTGCTGAGGCCCTCACCGCGCAATGGAGCGGCCTTCGGCCAACGTTGACCACGTCGGGTACAATGTCTTGTGATGTCTGCAGCTCAAGGGGCCGACGTTAGCCCGTAGGAGTCAGCAGACTTCACAGAGGCCCCCCGCAAGTACCTGCAGGTTTCACACCTTTTCACATCTAGCAATGTAGCGCGAAGCAGCAGGGCACAGCCACTCCAGAATGTGGATGAAGCCGCGGTTGGCTGCGTGATGCACAGCAGTCCCACCCTGCGCAACGGTGCAGGTGCGGGAAGCTGTCCACGGATGAGGGCCACCTATGATTGCAGCTCCTGATGGTCCATTGCTTCTACCTCTGCTGCCCAAGCCTCCGAGTCACGTGCGGTGACAACTCCGTGCTCGTGGCCTCGTGGCATGTACGATGGTGCCCTGACAGCTCTCTGAAAGCTCCCCTGAAAGCTCAAACGCCACTCCAAGCTGCAGGCGCCAAAGCACGGCCAGAGTGGACCTCATGCAGACACCCCAACGAAAACATCATCGTTCTGAGAGCGACTGGGACGACGACAGTCTTCCATTACGAGTAGCGAGATGCACAGCCTCACGGAGCCAACCGGTTGATTCGTGCGGGCATCGCCAGTACCGGGGCCGCTGCTTGTAGGCCCTCCTGGTTCGCCTGGTGGATGGAAGCCCGTGCTTTGAGCAGGTCTGTCACCTTACGCATGCCCACACAAACTCCAGCGATGCGAGGGACATGAGATGACATGAGTCCAGGAAGTCGGCGAGCACGTGCGAGCCATTCCAAGCCTGCCAATGCATCGGCTGGACCAGAGTGACCAGAGTGCCAGCTGCCATGCCCAGCCACCCAGCCACCTAGCCACCCACTCGGCCCCAAGCAGCCCAATGGAGTGCAGAATTAAAGTTATCGGAGTCCAACCTTTGATCGACTGGATCGGTCAGCCACTTTTTGGAAGAAGCATGAAAGTCGGAAAGGACCCCAATGAGTCTGAGGCTCCGTCTCAGTCAAGTCCACACCCTGCTCTATCAAGGCTCTGGCCGCTGCCAAGTCCTCGCCGTGGCCACTTTAAGAAGCGCTTTGCAGAATATCGGGGCAAAGCACCGGGGAGCAGAGCATGGAAGGGCCTTGTTGCGGCATGCGCCCGCCAAGGCCCCGCTTTGGCCTCCACCACAAGCGATTCAGCAAGGCCACATGAGTTGACACACATATTGGGGCGCACACACACACACACACAATGTGTGAGAGTTCCTCAGGATTCTGCCTTCGCACATCTCCTGGAGCGCCGGTTGCGGCGGCTGAGTGACGCGCTTGTCTGGCCCCGGCAGCATGCCGGCATATGTTGGCAGGTTCTGGCCAGCTGCAGCAGAGAGGCGACGGCATTTTCTGCGGGCGTCGATCCACGAGTGCCATCTCAAAACAACGTGTTCTATTCGAGGCTCAGAGGGATGATCCACATGACGATGGCACTTGGCAAGCTGCGAGAGTGGGAGCAAGGTCAGCACGTTTGCGTTACATGTCGCCGTTGGCTAGGCTGCGATGGGGTTGGCGAGAAAACAACACGCGGCCTAAAGGCTTTAGCTTAAGGCTTAAAGGCCTTCTCCGCACGTTTCGGCACCTTCAAGACTTCACCGTGATTGATGGCGCTTCCATGTCTGTAGCTGCGACCGACGTGGCAGCCATGTTAACTTCGCTCTTGAGCCACTGTTGAAACAAGGCTGCCTGGAGCTCTGGTCATCTGATAGCTGAAGATGTCGAAAAGGCATCACAGCTGGCACGGTAAACAACATGTAGACTGCCCCCAACCACCTCGAAACCCTTCGGCTCAAGTCCTGAAATCTGGGGCGGAGTAGCACAGAGAAGGCTCCGTAGTAGCTGCACGAGTAGGACATGCAAGTAAAGTCTGGAAGAAGGAACGCTGCCATTGTAGTTTATCTACCTTTTGGAATTTGTAAGGCATTTTGTAGTTGTTAGGTGGGACTGGGGACAGGCTGCAACCTTTGCAGCAAGCTCGTAGCCTTCACTGTTGAATTTATTGCTCTGAGAAAGAACTGCAGATGATCACGGAACCTCGACCCCCATTCAGCAGAGAGTGGCTGTCTTGCGCAAACACCATTCTGAGCAAACTCCCATTTTCTTCGAAAGACGGCTGGCTCTGCGTGTGGTTGCCTGGCTGGTGGCGCAGCCTTCTCGCCATCTACTTCACTGACCTCCGTAAGGAGCGGGCGTTCGAGTACGAGCAAGAGAAACTTCAACTTGTTCGCCTTGCAGGATGCGTCATGATTGCAGGTGGAGAGTGTCGCAACTTCCCCAGTCACCTCGCCGCGCCCCATCACCCAGGAGCAAACTTCTTTCCAAGGGCCAACTGGGACGCACCTGCCAATGCCACGCAGCAAATATGCTCGAAATGTGGCCCTCGAAGCCGCGTCCTCGCAAGAAGCTGCTTCCGGTTGGACAAGAGCACGCAACGTCCTCCTGGCCTGACAGGTAATGCCGGTTATGGGTCCTGATGCCTGAGAAAGCCTTGCCTCAAAATTCGCTCTGCCAGCTGCAGAAAAGCCCGGTACGACCTGAACTGGGTAGCTTGAGTCATTGACACATACATGCTGCGCAATCCTGTCCACAGCCATGAGCAACAGGCTTCTCGTCTGAACTGGCCTGCAGCTTCAAAAAAAAAACTGGAAAAATGTGTTTCGACGGTTGATTATGATTCAACCGTGGGGAAGTCGCATGCGAAGCTGTTGCCAGGGCTTCACATGCTAAACAGAAGTGGCTCCAAACATGAAGTGCAATTATCATTCACCTCTGATGCACCACAGGTCACCTACAATGAGGCTATTCGATCCCATCTTCCGCTACGCTGTTTAATCTCAGCCTCATGCAAGCAACACATAGCAACACGACAAGCAAACTGACTTTCTTAAACCACTCGCCAGAAGGCCATTCCTCTCGGGTCCTAGGGTTTGGGTGTCCGGCTTCCAAAGCAAATATCAAGTATCCTCGCACATGTGTCCCGACGGCTTGGCACGAACAGCAAAATCATCACAGCTTCTCTCAATAGTCGCGTGACAAAGATTCTTGCACATGCACAACACAGATATTCTTGCACATGTGACGCTGCATCTTGGCGGGCAGAACAAAACATCACTCCCCCCCCCCCCCAAAAAAAAAAAAAAGAAAACAACCTTGGGCCTTGCATCCCCTTGAGACTGCCATAGACTGCCCCAACCCCCCCCCCCCTTTGACACCTTGAATCCCTGACATATTGTCACAAGTCCTATTTGACCCGAAACAAGAGGTTGTAAACAAAAACTCCACAAGCTCCAAAGGAGCTACCTTATGACTGGTACGTTCCATGGCTGAGGAAGCGAAGCCATTCGGCAAGAGCGCCTTATGCGCAGCTCCACTCGGCAAGTCGCAGATCAAGGCATCGACCTCCCGGCAGAATGTGTTCCAAGTGAGACATTGAGCAGAGGAGCTGGTACTGTCACCCTCTTGGCCCCCAAACTGACCCATCAGCAATGTCAGCAAGTGCAGCCGGATCCTGAAAGTGTAACAACATACATATATATACGTATATATATATATATATATGTTTTTTTTATGTCATCAGCAGGCCACAAGCGAGCGAGAGAAAGCAAGTGCTTGCAAAGTCAAAGGCTCAGGCCCTGCCATCACCTAAGCGTACGTCTGACCTTGCACGGGAAAATCAACCCCAGGGCGCTTTGCTCTTGCGACTTGGGCCGACACGCATCCACGCAGCAAGCTGCGAAGTTGGACAAGCATTTCCTAGGTGCATTGCCGGAAGAACTGATTTCCGAGTGGCCGCTTGCTTTCTTACCAAAACATGTCCGTATGCTGCTGTGTGCCACCATATGCATGGGTGAATGTGCGTAAAAAACCCTGCCGATGGAATCTTCTGGGTTGTGCATGAGTCTGGCGGCTGCCTGGCTGCGCCCCCTTCATTTCATACGCTCCCTTGTCTTGTATTCGCTCCTCTTTGCCATCGTTCCTTTGATATTAATATTGTATCCTTGTGAGCGAATAAATGCACTAATTAAACATTCAAATGAAAACGAAGAACGAAAAGAACATTATGCCGGCGCGAGAAGATTATAGAATTAATTCCTAAGCCTTTATAATTTATTTATAATACTATTAATGTTATCCTTACGAAATAGCCCTTTTAATTTCATATTTGCATGACGGGGGAATTAATGCGTGCTCCCTAATAATCATAATAAAGGAGAAGAACGCAAGGAAAGGCATATAATAAAGAACAAACTTGGCCCATGTCATTTCAGCCGTGTCACGGTTCATAAAGAGACAAAAAGAACTCAAAGAAAGGTCAATTCTTCACACAAGTCGTCAGGTTTCAAGCGTGAAACCACCAATCCAGGAGTGGCCAAGCCGCTGAAATTGACCACGGTCCATGTCCCGGCCTGCCGAGCTTTGTGCCACTCAATGTATCCAGAAAGCAGGCGAACTGAGCTCTGAGACTGCTGCCAACAAGCTTTAGAGGACACTGACCTTAGATAGGAATGCTCTTCACTGTGCCGCTTTAGACTCTTGAACTGAGGTGCGTGCTGACCTGTGGCCAGATGCGTGCTGCAGCCTTGCAGAATGGGCTGGCCATGACAATCTCGGAGAATACGACAGCTCTGCAATGCTGCATAACCACCCATGTGGCTCAGCGCCGCACTAGGAGCAAGGTTCCCATGCCACATGTCGGGTCAACCTGGCACAAGGCAAACCTGCAAAAGATGCTAAGCTTCTAATTCTGAACTAAACGCCTCCACAACCGCCATGTAGCTTTACTTCGCTTTGCTATGTCTTACCGACGAGGAATTTCTGACCAAAGCACGCTGGCACGACCACGATGCTTGGGCGAGTGTCCTCACCGCGTGCATCCTGCAAGTTAGGCTCAGTTTGTCCCCATGAGCTGTGTGCCTTGCCCAACAGCTGTGCTTTCCACACCACTGGCCCGGCCATCATGCACTCCGCAGCTACTGCGGCCATGGCCTCTGCAGGCATGTGACGGCACGCGATGTGACAGCAAGAGAATCAGCAGCAGCAGCAGCAGCAGCAGCACGGCACCCCACCACCACCACGACCAACATTTCACCCCCAACACTTGTGCGGCTACGTCCCGCGCCTGAACATGGCAGGTTTCCGAAACCACAAACCACAAACAACCCCAAAAACCAAACAAAACAACAATCTCTTGCACAAACATGTCAAAGGTCTGAGGTTGGCCCATCGGGGCAGCCAGTGCCAATAAGTCGGAACGACAACGACGACGATGGCGGCGGCGGCGGGGGCAACGGCGACCGCGACCGCGAGCAACCGCAACCGCAACCGCAACCACAACCACAATAAACACACGACAACCATCAGAACCATCACAACCATCAGAACCATCACCACCATAAGAACCACCGCCACCACCAGCATCAGAACCATCACCACCATCAGACCCATCACAATCAGTACCACACTCACAACCGCCACATCCATCCCAAACCGCCACGACCATCGCAACCCCACCACCATGACAATCATCACCATCACAACCAACACCACCATCACAACCCCCGCCACCATCACAACCCCCACCACCAGCCATCACAACCACCACTACCACCACCGCCATCACCACCACAACCAACACCACCATCACAACCACCACAGCCGCGACCACCACAACCCAAGCCATAACCACCACCACCACCACCACCACCACCACCACAGCCATGACCCCCAGCACCACTGTGAGCACAACAGCAGATGAAGGAACAAACTGGCATCTTGTTTCGTGATTTGGCTGAGATTTCCAGGATCTGACACGCACAGTGAGAATGGGCATGCTCTGTACTGCTAAGCGACTACCACTCAATCTGTGTAGAGGCTTTCCTCCGCAGCACATGTCAAGTAAAGATGAAAATGCTCCAAAGAGAAATACGACGTCTTCTGGACAACAAGTGGCAAGTTGTGGTGGGCACTGGCAGAGGCAAGCGAGAACTGTTCAGGTGCAGTGAAACTCATGTGCATGCAGTGCCATTTGCTGTACACTACAATATTCCTTGCAGCCGCTCTGTGAACTTTATCCCAGTTCTCGAGAGCGCAAGATCCAGGAACGGAGCGCACCCAGCCAAAATTGGACACCACACGGGTTGCGTGCACATCTGCAAAACCTACTCTACGTGCTGCCAGAAAGCAAGTCCCCATCCAACCAAGGAACTAGCATCTCTGGCTGCGTCCCTCGTGAGGCTCAGCGTGGTTTTCGCTTCCTCGGAGGACTCTGTCACCACGCTCCCCTGTGCGGACATGGGCATTCATGGAATTTTTTGGGCCAGATACTGTGGCACTCTGCAGAAAGAGTGCCAGCTGGTACCGTGACCAGAATACTCATGATGCTCAACCGCGGCGAGTATACTACTACCCACATGGACACTCACTGCAAGTTGTGGTGGTGACATTCGAACAATCTAGAATCTAGAATCTAGACAAAGTTGCCGACACGCTGTCTTGCAAGGCCATGAATGAAGAAAGCGCGCCTCAATCTCCTCATCTTCAGCGGCAGCCATTGTCTCGGCAGCAACCCATCGCCGATGGCGGAATAAGCTAACAATCGTGAAGAGCATCAAGGGCATGTGCACGGGGATCGTGAACTTGAACAGGATCGTCCCCTCGGCCAATCCCAGCGCAAGGCCTTTTGAGTTCAAGTTCAGGAACTTCGTCAGCATGCTCCAGGCCCGGCTCGAGTCCGCCGAAGCCGCGAGCTTGTCTGAAAGCTGCCAGTACTTTGCGGAGCTCCAGGAATACCAGCTAACGGGTTCGCGATGCCTTGGGGGAATCATGCCTAGCTTCTGCCGCTCTTGCGTGCGAAGGAGCTGCCAGCCTGCAAGCTTCCAGCTGTAATTGGCTGCACGATAGCGATCTCGAGCATTTGCCAGGCCAGCTGTGAATGAGCTCCTTGCTCTGCTGCGCAACTTCTTCAGCAGTGCCGCAGCTGTCCCCTTGGCGTGGGTAACTGGTGAGACGCGTTGACTCCTGAGCGCCTGTGGCGCCTGTGGTTCACTCCGACGTCTCATGAGAGCCTCCACGAGCCAAAGCCGCTTCCTCTCAGAGAAGGTCCTTGCTCCGAAGCTGCTTCCAAATAGCGCCTCTCGCCTTGAAAGAAAGACCCTTCGCAAAGGGCGGTAGCGGACGGCTACCGCCACGGAGGCCACCCAAGCACAGTACTTTGCTCCGAGGAAAACTGCAGCCACTTTCGGTACATCTTCTGCCTCCAGGCCGCATGTGTGCAAATAATTCGTTAAGCGCTGCCCAACCATTGAGAGGTGCCTTGGGCAACACTCTTCCAAAAGGACCCTTTTTATGACCTCTCTGATACTTGCCTATCTAAGCAATCCTCGTGCTCGGGCCGCTTCCGAAAATCACAATCATCATCAAAAGGCAACGGGCCAATTCGGGCGCTTCCAGCCCACACGCATATCCCAACGGCTTCAAGATCTAAGTCTACACAGGGAAGTCGGAGAGTCGGTAGCTCAGGGCATCTGAGTGTCTGTCTCCTGCAATCTGCGTTTGCATCCCCGGCCGGGAAAGTCGACCTCAAGCTGACATGCGGAGCAAAACAAACTGCGGATGCGTCATGTACAACATTGTGCCAAAGAATGCCAAAGTACTCAGAGCCCGCACTCCAGGAAAACGGCGGCGCCAGATAAGTTTCTACTTCCCTGACCTTGGAGCTCTCGATTTCGGTCGCTTCCACGACACTGGTAACAAATAGCACCTCAATGCCCAACGCCACGTGATCGGCTGCGAAGAAAGCCACGGCATTTACCTGGGCGCCCAAATGCCACATGCACATCCAACTGGCGTCGCCGTCTGCTGGCCAGGCTTGTGTTGGTTCAGGGGCGCAGGCCTCGGCAGCTGCTGCGCGTGGCTCCAGAGCCTCTTGGCTGCACCGCTGCGAGCAAGAAGCACGTGTGTGCAAAAAAACACATTTTTTAGACCCTTGATGCTGAAAACATCTCGTGCCAGGTACTGCACCCAGGAAGTAGCGCGCTCGAGACCGCTTCGCACTGCACGCTTGAGCTGGACCCAGTCCTTGACAAACACCGTTGCAGGCAGCACATGGAATTGCGCGAAGCATCATCGAAACGTCATGGGCTGTGCACTGTAGCCTCGACGCGGGACACCCGACGAGGCACAAGGAATCAGAGGAACGGAGGTCCCGGGCCGCCGGTGTGGTCTGAGTCTTGCAAGCGAAACTGAATCGGCCCCAAGCAGGAGATGAGTTCAACGACCGAAACCGACCCCCCCGGTTTTTGCGGTTCCTGCCCCAGCCCTGGCATGGCCCAGAGTTGCTCGTTGCTCAGGGTTTCATGGGTTTCCAGCACCCAGAATCCCTGAACGCTGCTGATTGCTGCTGATTGCTGCATCTGTGGTTGAACCATGCTGTACTTGGGTCCTGGCTGCACGGGCACCGAAGGCTTGCTTCTCAGTGCCACTGTAATTTACACCTGGTACGGGCTCCGACAGCCCAAAACCTCTCCAAAACAGCGGCAAAACATGTCGTCTGAAGGGCGCACGGCACTGGGCTGTGAAGCGAATCTTTCGGCCGCGAGGATTTGCACCTCAGATTCAAAGGTTCTGATTATCAGACCGCAGCATGCGCAGCACATGACACGGCTGTTCAGATTGCCGCCAGGGTCATCCGCCCGTTCTGCCAGTCGCGACATGTAGGCCGGAAGCCTTGATCAACTTCACTTGCTTGGGGGCCACGTTGGCATATGTCGGCAACTTCAGAAACTGAAGGCAGGACACCGATCGCAGGCGAGCACGCGCAGAATCCTCCACCATTTGCGCCTTGCAGCAGCACGAGCGATTGCAAATGTTTGAGTCTCAAGAGGCCGAGGCCACGGCAAAGGCTGCATGAACATCTTCACATCCTCTCAGCTCTGCCAACTCGTGCCTCAGCCAGCATTCCACATGGTGCACTTGTCGGATAGGACTTCTGTGCCTTTGTGCCAGGCCCCTGCACCAGCCCGAAAAGCACGATGAGGCGGCTGGCACCGTGTCTCAGCGAGGGTTGCACTCCATCTTTACATGCCCGTGGCTTCCACTGTCCAACACATTCCAACACCTGCTCAAGTTTTTGTTCCAACGCACTCGTCTGGCACGTCACATAGTCGAGCTTGCTACCCGCACGCTGCGCTGCGGCGCATGTTACGCCGCTGGACAGCAGTGCGTGCACGGCCATTAACACGATCTACAACTCATTGTGGTTGATCTTGAACTGATTGAAGATGCGTCGGAATATTTCCAGGTCTGCATCTTTGTCGCCGCCACCAGTGGCTTGGTAAAGCAAGCAGGCACTACTTGAGGTGGCTCAGAAACCATCATGAACTCTTCAAGCTTGCAGGCTATGCTGCTATGCGATCCGAGCAGCAATCGGAGATCCCATTCACATGCTCCGGAAAGCAGAAATGCACTTCGTTGTAAAGCCAACCAACCCGAGTATTATCGACGAGCTTGCCACTCAAAAGCCTG